AGCAAGCAGGGTTGTGTCATCTGCATAACACAGATTGTTGATAGATCTTCCACCAATCCTGACATCACACTTCTCCTCATAGAGCCCAGCCTCCTGGATAATCTGTTCTGCATACAGGTTGAAAAGGTATGGAGACAGGACACATCCCTGGCGTATGCCCTTTCCAATTTTGAACTATGCAGTGTTTCCTTGAAGTAGGGTTTCATCCACCCATTCTTGCACACCATACTGCTTTCTAACACCAATTACAATGCCAGCAATGTGACTGTATTGTTCCCACATCCTCCCTGTAATTCTCATTTCCATTAGAGGGGGATTTTTTTTTCTTCAGTGAGCTCATGTTACCAGTCATCTCAGCATGAGCAGTTTGTCTTGCTGGAGAACTGAAATGCTCACTCAGAGATGCTTAGTCTTGTAGGGCATTTTAAATTAATAGTGGTGACTGACACTTCCACCCCAGAAGTATTCAAACTGGTTCAAGGAAAGTCCTGGCACCCTACTCAACAAGTTGTTTACGGTCTAACTGTATTTTCTGTCTCTGCAGATTTGCCTATTTTGAACTTATTTTTACAAATGAAATCACAAAATAATCTTTAGTGATTGGCTTCCTTTTACTTAGTATAATATTTTCAAAGTTCATCCGTGCTGCAGCATGCATCACTATTTCATTCATTTTCATGGACACATAATATTAATTTTATAGAAAGATTTCATTTTATCTATTTACCATTTGATGAAAATTTGGATTTTTTTCTACTAGGATATTACCAATAATTCTGATTTTCATATTAATGGAAATTTTTTTTTACTTAAAAAAGTAAATATTAGGCTCATAACTCATTTTTCATAAAAAATTGTCCAATAAAAAGATAATTATTTAAGATTAAATTCAGGGACATATGATTCTTCATAGACTACTTATAACTGCAAGATGGAGAGGACCTGAGAAATCATTTGACTCAAACTTTAAGAGTATAGAGAGAATAATTTTTATCTTACAGGTAAGAAAACTTATGCCACAGAAATGTAAATGCTTTTTGCCCAGGTAATAAGTAATGAAAATGGCATTAAGAATTCATGGTTCTCATCCATTACTCTAACGTTACTTCTCCAAGGATTCCTAACAGTCCCAAATACTCTGGCTCTCTCCTACAGGGCTTTGCATGAGCAGAAACCCACAAACGCAAAGACACAACACAGTGGATTTTACCAGCAGGAATTTACTGAACACCTGATTTGACTCAAACATAATCAGGAATTTTCCTTCAAAACTTCACATTGACCACAGGGAAACATTTCTGTGCCATTCTTTCATCTATTTAAAAGATGAATGGTTTAAAGATTGAAAATACTTTTTTGTCATATAAGCACGTTTAGATGATTTCAAAAGATATTAGACAAACACCTACATTTAACAAGTTATCTATCAGAACCAGAATAAAATCTCTTGCTTCAATGACTCAGTTTAAAAGGCAACAGAAAGCCATCAGCAGATTTTCACTCTCCTTGTAAGCCTTTATCACTACACAATGAGCATTTGTCCCTGGTTTTTAATTACTTACATTAAGAAAGCTTTCTCAATACAAGACTCCCAGGTGTTTGTAGTTCTTTCTCTTCAGCTCCTTTATGAATTGTTCCCTTAATTGTTACTTCAAACAATCCATTACACATTCACATGCTAATCACACAGACCCTGGGCGTGAGAGAGTACCCCACTTTCAAAATGCTACTTAAAGGTCTGATAGATGAGATGTGATAGACCCAATGAACAAGAAAGAAAAAAACAACAAGGAAGCTAGATTCACTTTTTGCTGTATTATAGACTTTGAAACCCAGTCCATATTATGTGAAATAAAATCTGTGCAAGTGCTTACGCGTTTTGAAATCTATTAAAATGATGACATAAAGAATGCTTACTTCTGTGGCATTGATTTTTAAAATCTAGTCTCTTTGCATATGAATGTGTTGTTTGTCAGGTCTGTTTGGATGTGAATGTTTGTAATGATACAGCCAAGAAAGGATATTTTAGGAATGAGCTGATGCATGATACAAGAAAACAATTGTTAATGAATCTTTTTTCCAAGGTTGCTCTGAAGTTTATTCTAAACAAAACAAACCCCATTCTTCATGAGGTGGGTTTTTAACTTGTAGAAACAAAGCTCAGGGAAATTAGCTTTATATCATTTTAGGTTTCTACTTCAACTCCGTCCATCTTGTATTTACCTTGAGGACCTGTTTACATACATATAGTGCATGCATACATGTATGCATGTGTGTATGTGTGTGTATATATGTGTGTATCTATC